TAAGTAAGGATACATTGTTCCCTAATTGTGCCGTTTCGATTTTGGTCATCTGGCGCTTTGACAATGAAAGACTATTATAACTCTTTCTTTAGAAGTCTTAAATTTCTTTTGTGGGTTTCCATAGGTCCCTTGTTGTGCCCTTTGATTTTGATTTCGAATCTGCTTGAAAAAGCAAAATGGCCGATAGGTGGCCATCTTGGATTTTGACAATGAACATTTGTTATCACTATTTGTTGAGAAGCACTGGGCAGGTCTGTCTCAAATTCATAAATATGTTCGTCGTTGTCCATAGTTGTGCCCATTCAATTCAATCTGTTCGGAGAGACAAAAGGAGGCAGTCTTGGTTTCCGACATTAAAAGTTTGTTTTCGCTGTTTCTTAAGAGGTACTGGATGGGCCTTTCACAAATCTTATATGTAGTTTTCCCTCGGTCCCTTGTGTTTTTAGATCATCTGACCCGAAGGGTCCGATGACCTATAGTCATCATGCTTCGTCCGTCGTCGTCCGCCGTGCGCTGTGCGCCGTCCGCCGTGCGCCGTCCGTAAACTTTTCATTCAAACGACTTCTCAAATACTAGAAGGTCAAGGGGGCTAATACTTGGCACAGAGGATACTGGCATGAAGCTCTACCAAGTTTGTTCAAATGAATGACCTTGACCCACTTTAAAGGTCACAGGGGTCAAATATGTTAAAATCTTTAAACAACTTCTTCTCATTAACCAAAAGGCTCAGAGTGTAGATATTGGGCCTGTGACATGCTGGGATGAAGGACTACCAAGTTTGTTCAAATGAATGACCTTGACATACTTTAAAGGTCACAGGGGTCAAATATGTTAAAATCTTTAAACAACTTCTTCTCAATAACCAAAAGGCTCAGATTGCTGATATTGTGCCTGTGGCATGCTGGGATGAAGGGCTATCAAGTTTGTTTAAATGAATGACCTTGAACAACTTTCAAGGTCACAGGGGTCAAATATGTCAAAATCTTTAAATAACTTCTTCTCAAATACTAGAAGGCCTAGGGGGCTAATACTTGGCCCATAGCATGCTGGCATGGAGCCCTACAAAGTTTGTTCAAATGAATGACCTTGGCCCACTTTCAAGGTCACAGGGGTCAAATATGTTAAAATATACAAAGGACTTCATCTCAATAAGCAAAAGTCTATGAGTGCCGATATTGGGTCTGTAGCATGCTGGGAGGAAAGGCTACCAAGTTTATTTAAATGAATGACCTTGAACAACTTTCAAGGTCGCAGGGGTCAAATATGTCAAAATCTTTAAATAACTTCTTCTCAAATACTAGAAGGCCTAGGGGGCTAATACTTGGCCCATAGCATGCTGGCATGGAGCCCTACAAAGTTTGTTCAAATGAATGACCTTGGCCCACTTTCAAGGTCACAGGGGTCAAATATGTTAAAATATACAAAGGACTTCATCTCAATAAGCAAAAGTCTGTGAGTGCCGATATTGGGTCTGTAGCATGCTGGGAGGAAAGGCTACCAAGTTTATTCAAATGAATGACCTCAACCCACTTTCAAGGTCACAGGGGTCAAATATGTTAAAATATACAAACGACTTCTTCTCAACAAGCAAAAGTCCATGAGTGCTGATATTGGGCCTGTAAGATGCTTGGAGGAGAGGCTACCAAGTTTGTTCAAATGAATGACCTCAACCCACTTTCTAGGTTTGGCTTGCTTTTTGTCAGATGACCGTTAAGGCCCATGGGCCTCTTGTTTTATTTTAGGACTGTCAGGGAAAACAAAAATACTTACAACCGACAAACTTTAATTTGACAATTGAAAATTATTATTGTTATTCGAGAGCGGAATTTTCCAATTTTGTATAATTAAAAGCAAATAAGTGGGGAAAAATTTGTAAACAAGGTGAAACATCCAATTTTTAAGAAATATATGAAGATCAGACTGACGATTCCCAAGATTCTTCTATGACCTCTTTTTTTTAACCTTCAGCTGTGCTCTAAAAAACCAGTTTCATAATCACGAAGAGAGACATCAGTAGGTTTAATTTAATTTGAAGATTAAAGTTACGGCTTGTCATGCTTTGATAGACAAATGCAACGAACTAGCCTTGTTCCGACTCCGTTCTTATACATTAGAGCGTGGGATTACCCATAGTTCCATCTCGGCTTTAAATCTCTGGTTGAGAAGCGTTACTGGTCCAGAAAGAAGTTTCGGCTAAGATGGACATCAAAAGTCGCTGGCAACGAATGAAGATCTTTAAGAATTAAGTTTTCAGAGAAGAACGAAAGGTAGGGTTATGGGCCAAAAGAAATGTAGAGGTGATGGGGACAGAGCTGACGGACAGGGCAAAGTAATTTGTGCTATCGTTAAAATTACACGTAAAATGCAAGGAAACGAAATTATATCAAGTCAACAGGTAACCACCAGCTTCAAGATCTGTCGGCGAAGTTTTAAGTATATATACCATGCAGACTGGTCACAGAGACTGATGCGCAATTTCCATGAAGAGAACCACCACTGCAAAAAGATAAGACTAATAAATGAAGTTTGAAAAAGAACGTTTTTTTCTGTAATAATTCAAGAGTAGGTTTCTATAGATAACGTGGCGCTACCCAAATTATTGAATTATGTATTTATTTCTTTATGTTTCATATATTCCTTCAACTTTAATTTCGGACTTTGATTATATATCAGCAGTGCACGTGTCTATAAATAGAACGCAGCAAGGCATGTCAGGTTTCAACACATAGGGATACCCAAAATGGAACGCCTCTTATATTCTGTTCGTTTTATTGAAGTAACTGACATACTTTTTAATACTTTCTTCATTTTATAAAAGTTCACCTGTTTTATCATTAATCTCACTTAATTTCCTATACAAAATATTGATTTCAGCAATGCTTTTCATAGTTTAAAAAGAATTTGACAGAATAATTGTGTTGTCGCATGACATCATTTACCGAGATTTTATTTATAATTTTATTTTTGAAAAATTAAATAGATATATGAACCAATATAGAAGACATGGTGTAATAAAAGGTGTCAGAATAATTTATAGATAACTTATATTTTGTTTGGAATAGTTAAAAATAGTTTGTATCGCAAAATACAAATTATGCGTCAAATATCTGAGAATTGTTCCATTTTGGTAATATCACATTACACTAAATATTACTTATATATTTATTAAAATGTTTTCAGTTTAAGCCAAGTTGTACAGAACTCGTATTGCAGATTCAGGTATTGAGTAAGGGAATTGAATTTCCGTGACTTCCTTTCGTTCTGGAAAATTGTTAGTACAAGTATAGTTCTTCTATAGATAGTCACGGTTGAAATGGTCAGTGTCGCGAAAATGGGCTTGGGTAAACAATTCTAGGACATACCTATGACATGTTCTATTGTCATACCAAATTCAATCGACATTACATTCAAAAGTTTTCGCTAGTGGAATAATTCATGTTGATGAGTTTATTTCCCAATTTCAGTGTTGTTCAAGGTCGGATGTCGGTATAAACACGATGTCCAGCGTGTTCATTATGTTGTTTGGTTAGGTAGCATCAAGGTCCTTCATGGGAACTCGCATCGAAATGACACTATTCACGGGACGAGAGACTTAGCTAACAAACAATATAAGAACTCTTACTATAAGGCCGTTGACGGAGACTGAACAGCCACATTCACCCATGGAACAGATGTTTCGCTAATACACTTTGTCATGTTTCGTTTTTTCGCAGCTTCTTATACACGCGTTTCGGAAATCCTGGAACGTTTTAGTTGATGATTTAATGGAGGCTTGCCGAGATTACGAGGTAATATTGCGGGTCAGCACCTATATTTATAAAGGAAGTTAAATGTTGACAATTTTGAAAGTTAATTTGGTTCAGTTTACATAGGTCTTTTGGATTGTAGAATTGCATTTATAAAGAAACATTTCATATTCGTAGAAGTATTTTGCTGAACAAATAAAATTTACCTGTCGTACAATGAAGAGCCCGAGACTGTTCTGTCATTTACACTTACCTTTATGTGACATAACTTGTCTTAAGGTGTCACAAGTACATATTGTGGACGCTGTCCGTAAGTGACCATTAAAGGCGGTCAAAAGGTCATGTTTAATTTATTCTGTGTGGTACTAAAACCACATATCCGTCACGGATAGGTCGCACACATGACCAGGTATTGTATACAGCTCGTGTCGCCTGGAAAAAACACTCGTCACCAGACTACCTAAAACACAATATGTCGGACCAGGTAAGTGTAATTCAAAAGTTGTCAGTAGGCCTATACATATGTTTGTTTTAAACAGTGTTTGGAGATTCAAACGCTTTTTTGACATTTGGTTTATATACATATAGAGTCAACGGCGTGATTCTGTGTTCATTTATAGTGTGTCATTTACATATACCTGGGTTAGATAAATCTAAGATGGGGGATATATCTGTCTCAGGTGCGAGAACATATACACATGTGCATTGTACGAACATCACACTGAGTCTACATCTAGATCAAACACGGACTTAGATATTCTATATCTTAAGTCCATAGATTAAACAGATATTTTTTATCTTTGGATTAACTCGTGGCCATTGACGTGCACGTGATTTTAAGCGCACACCTATATTCCAGGCAGGACTTTTTCAATCTTAAAAGACGTCATTTTTTTGTACATGCACTCATATAATTTTAGGACTTCAATTCATTTATTGCCAAAAATCAGAAGTTGTCAACAGTGAGCATCTCATCTTTGGTATTTACAAACATTAAATTTTTTCCTGAAAATGCAAATTTATTTATTAGTCATTTCGTTTAAATCTCCTTTATGAACTTCTGCAAGACTTAAATGTGGTGGAAGGTTTTATTTTTACTGAGTGGAGATAGCGCTGCAGATAGATCGTCCTCCTTTGTAAACATGCCTTAATGTAAGTTGACCGCCTCGTGAACAGTCAGGGTCATTTTCTGTCAGAGCTAGCTTGTATATATCGGGTGGCTACCTCACTGAAAACATACGGAATGCCCGCCGCATGTCGCGAAGATCAATTAGGGTAACTGGCTCGGTCAAGGACACAGTAATAGCACACTTCGGTCCGTTTTTCTGCTTCTTTGAGAAATACAAACCGCCACGAGATGCCACGAAATGGAACCGTCTACACGAATGTTTGGACATGAGTCGGTTCTCTGACCTGATGATGGGAAAAATGAATGGAACGAGGCTTTATCAATTTAGATTGTCGGTAAAACGTATGAAGACCATACAATACCTTTGTAAGATTTCTTCCCTCCTTTTTACTGAAAACTAGTATGTTTGGGATCTTATATAAGAGATGAGAATTGAATTCGGTTAATTCTTTGAAGCTGTGTGGTAGTTAACGGTATATAGACACCCCAAGGCTGAATGGCCATTTGATGGGCGATGGTCATAGGCTGCCGGACTACACAACAAAAGCAGTCTCTTAATTCTAAGGATAAATGCTTTCAATTTGAACACATACACCGACAACCAAATATATGGGATAAATAAATGATTACTTACAGCATTCCGCCGCCCTAGGAGATAACATATAGCTAATGTAGAGACATGTGTAAACAATTATTTATTCAATGTTGGTCACTTTTTTAGACTGGGGAACCTACTGAAGGGCAATTTTTTTTTATAACAGACAAATACATTGAGTCTCCCTTCTTAATCCTGGTTTCCTTACCACCTGCCTGTATGACAAGCCAAGCTTACATTTATCCATGAGCGATGTTACAACTGATTCTGAACTGTGTAAGATATGTATATATGAAATATCTAACAGAATCTGTAAGGTATCCTTATGATATCATAAACAAAATATCGAAAATAATGTCGTTAATTATCACGCCCTGAATGATATTTATCATACAATGAATCACAAATATTTATGGTTAGTTTTAAATATCAATGCAATATACTTATATTCCCTACTAAGGAAAGGGTCGTTTGATCATGAGTGGTCTCCCCTTCCATACGCGCAATGTTGTTGTTTATTATTGTATAGTAATCATCAGATATAAAAACACAATATTTTGGGATTAGTTTTCAATATCGAGACATTGTAGTTGAGAGTATAAATAAACTTTGACAAGTGCCATTGTATTTTATGAATTCATGGAAATCCAACTCATTGTTTCCCTTTGATATTTAAAGGTTATCTAATGTAATGCCGCTTACGTTGTCGACAAAAAAGACGTTGCTATTAGTGAACATTCATCGCCAGAAAAAGCAAGTTGAATATTTCAAGTTAGAAACCTACACCTAAGGACGAAACGGGTTTATTGTGCAGTTTTATGCATATTTTGGCTGTTCTGTATCGCATTATTTGTATTGAGAGGTGCTATTCACTTCTGTGTGTCTTTGGTACAATAATTCACGTAGCAATTTAATTACATGTAATTTAGTCTAAAAATGAGTTTAAATCCATTTTATATTAATCACGTAATGCGATAATATGGGCATCTCTTAGGCTGAGATATCTTCTATTTATTTTAACTTTTCATTTTAAAATTCTTTTATTTAAACACACCACCCGTTAAAAATGAACAAATTTATCTTGGACATGGGTAACCTATATAGTTCGATCGGCAGTGATGAAACCATCTTTGTAAAAAATAGTTGTAAAAGAAAGAAGAATGAAAAAAATAATTATGATAAATAAAAAACAATATGTGATATCATAATTTTCCATTAAAACTCTATGGAATTAATAAGGTTGGTTGCATTTATTTACAAAACGTCGAGAAAATAATTCTTAAGAGTCACTGGTCTCATAACCTTATGTCCATGTCAACAGCTAGTCACTTAGCACGGTGGTCTGTGCTGTAGTTAACACAACACACAAACATAGGCACGGTGGTCTGTGCTGTAGTTAACACAACACATAAACATAGGCACGATGGTCTGTGTTGTAGTTAACACAACACATAAACATAGGCACGATGGTCTGTGCTGTAGTTAAAACAACACATAAACATAGGCACGGTGGTCTGTGCTGTAGTTAACACAACACACAAACATAGGCACGGTGGTCTGTGCTGTAGTTAACCAAAAACACAAACATAGACACGATGGTCTGTGCTGTAGTTAACACAACACACAAACATAGACACGATGGTCTGTGCTGTAGTTAACCCAACACACAAACATAGGCACGGCGGTCTGTGCTGTAGTTAACACAACACTCAAACATAGGCACGATGGTCTGTGCTGTAGATAACCCAACACATAAACATAGGCACGATGGTCTGTGCTGTAGTTAACCCAACACACAAACATAGACACGATGGTCTATGCTGTAGTTAACACAACACACAAACATAGACACGATGGTCTGTGCTGTAGTTAACACAACACACAAACATAGGCACGGTGGTCTGTGCTGTAGTTAACCCAACACTCAAACATAGGCACGGTGGTCTGTGCTGTAGTTAACACAACACACAAACATAGGCACGGTGGTCTGTGTTGTAGTTAACCCAACACACAAACATAGACACGATGGTCTGTGCTGTAGTTAACAGAACACACAAACATAGACACAATGGTCTGTGCTGTAGTTAACAGAACACACAAACATAGGCACGGTGGTCTTTGCTGTAGGTAACCCAACACACAAACATAGACACGATGGTCTGTGCTGTAGTTAACACAACACTCAAACATAGGCACGATGGTCTGTGCTGTAGTTAACCCAACACACAAACATAGGCACGGCGGTCTGTGCTGTAGTTAACACAACACACAAACATAGACACGATGGTCTGTGCTGTAGATAACCCAACACATAAACATAGGCACGATGGTCTGTGCTGTAGTTAACACAACACACAAACATAGACACGATGGTCTGTGCTGTAGTTAACACAACACACAAACATAGGCACGGTGGTCTGTGCGGTAGTTAACCCAACACTCAAACATAGGCACGGTGGTCTGTGCTGTAGTTAACACAGCACACAAACAGAGGCACGGTGGTCTGTGCTGTAGTTAACCCAACACACAAACATAGACACGATGGTCTGTGCTGTAGTTAACCAAAAACACAAACATAGGCACGGTGGTCTGTGCTGTAGTTAACCCAACACACACAGACACGATGGTCTGTGCTGTAGTTAACACAACACACAAACATAGGCACGGTGGTCTGTGCTGTAGTTAACCCAACACACATAGACACGATGGTCTGTACTGTAGTTAACACAACACACAAACATAGACACGATGGTCTGTGTTGTAGTTAACACAACACACAAGCATAGGCACGGTGATCTGTGCTGTAGTTAACACAACACACAAACATAGGCACGGTGGTCTGTGTTGTAGTTAACACAACACACACCGACACGATGGTCTGTGCTGTAGTTAACCCAACGCACAAACATAGACACGATGGTCTGTGCTGTAGTTAACACAACACACAAACATAGGCACGGTTGTCTGTGTTGTAGTTAACACAACACACAAACATAGGCACGGTGGTCTGTGTTGTAGTTAACACAACACACAAGCATAGGCACGGTGATCTGTGTTGTAGTTAACACAACACACAAGCATAGGCACGGTGATCTGTGCTGTAGTTAACACAACATACAAACATATTTGTTGTAGACATCTAAGAAGATTGATGACGGAATAGATCGGAGATGTGGTTTCGGAAAGCTGAAAGCAGGGCAAGTATTTGTATTACATCAACCTTCAAATTGACGATGAAAAATCAAATTAAGATAATATCTAAATTGAGTTATTTTCTGAACAATATGTCATTTTTTTTATTGATCAGATAATTTGATCCCCTTCGTTATATAAGCATTTATATGTTCATCTAATAATAATGTAGTTTTACTTTTTATTTGCCATAAACTTTATCCATCACCGAACTATATTATAGTTGTTTTCATCCGTGCGTTATTTGTACAATCTTTTTAATTGGAAACAATTGAAAGTGAAATATTCTACGATTCCGAGCGATTTCCACATCACTCTGTAGTACCATATCTGCAACTGAGATACAATTTCTATAATAGACTGTTCTCCATATTTCCCGAAGCATGAATTACTGAGATCACCTTGAAGTACAACGCCTTGTTTGTCCATAATGTATGGAATCACACCTACTTTTATATACATACAGATGGATGCAGATATTCAACAGAATGTCTGTTTTTGTCCTGTGGGTGTTCATCTTGTGCTTCCTGGAAGGGTTCGCCGTTAACGGTATTGGCAGCGCTGCACTTCCGTCAATAGAACGCCAATTCCAACTGACCTCCACGAAGTCCGCCCTCATCCCAAGTTCACAGGACATTGGAGCACTCATCGTTGTTCTCTTCGTCAGTTTTATCGGCGGACGCTATCACAAACCCTTCATCGTGGCTACAGGATCCGTGATAATGGCGCTAGGCTCATTCATCTTTATTGTTCCACATATCGCCGAGACGTATACTCCCGGTGGTGAGATTTTAGTTTTTTACAATAACAATGTAATTTGTAAAATTTTATTTGAAAACCTTAAACTCTGAACGAAAATGTCAGCACCATTTTGCGTCCGATTGATTTAGAACTTAGTAACTTTTCAGCTGTACATCAATGTTTCAAGATTTTTTTCTAGATTTGCTAAATTTCATCACATCATTCCAGTTACTTCGCCCCCTTGGGTACATTTTGACGCCTTGTAAAACACACACAGACATCCAAAATAACTGTTGAAGCACTGGTACGTTTTTAGCAGGGAACATTTTGACTGGACGGGAGATAGGATTAATGAATCAATGAAAACATTGGTTGTCCCAGTTATCACTCTGTAGACTTTTTGGGGTGGTTCATTTCCCCAAATTGATGAGAATTTCTAAATGATTCTTTTTAAATTTTATTGCCCTTAAAAATTTGAATTCGTTTTCTTGTCAATTTTCAGAAATATCCAAGACATCCAATGACATCTGTCCTACAGGAGGTGGAGGAGGCGGCCCTGCGCCTTCTTGTGAATCTAGTGGAGAGAAGTATCTTGGAGTATTCATGGCCGCCCAGATTGTTCACGGTTTGGGATTTACTCCTATGTTCACACTTGGGACCGTCTACATTTACGAGAACACAGATTCCTCGACGGCAGCAGTCTACATTGGTGAGTGATGTCACTATTGTCATGTGATAGTCATGTGATTGTCCTATGATACACATGATGATTTTATAAGTAATATTTCAATGTTTTAGTAATGAGACTACACGATTTGATAAAATCACACTCTTTCTGTAGGCATAAAACAAAGAGTAAAACGTATATTACTAATTACGTCACTGCTGACGTTTCGAAAAATCGCTTTATAATAATTAAAACGGAGAATGAGGATTTTGAATAAATTGCGATTTGTCAAATGATTAAAATTTTCCACGGGGAGTAGTAATCCATGACAATTAAAGACTTGTGTTTGTCTGTAATGATTCATTGTTAGGAGATAATATTTGTATTCTACTCGGGGATCCAACGCCTGTATTAAAAGGATTTAATTTCCATGTTTTTTCATGAAAAATAAGTAAAGATAATGCTCTTACATATAATATTCACAGTATTAGTTCAGTGTTAGGTTTGACCATGTCACTATTTTCAGTATTATACAATATAAGATAAATATGACAATAGGATCCTCCGTTCAGGTCGGAGTTCGTTAGGTCCTCTATGTTTCGCTGGTCCGATTATATCAATTCGTATTTACATAAATCCAAACCAATATCTGACCTTCTCATTTTCCACAAACTTCAAAATGTAAAAAAATCGTTTTCATTTCTGAACATAGCTTTTGTACATACTAAGAATTACCGTGTATGATTATGAATATGTTGCAAATTGTAAACCTGGTCATTCATTCATTCATTCATTCATTCATTCATTCATTCATTCATTCATTTATTTATTTATTTATTTATTTATTTATTTATTTATTTATTTATCCTTCACGGTCCACTTTGTCCATATCTTCGGCTTTGGTATGGCACCTATCGAATAGATACATTTGTTGTCACTTCAGCTTCTGATACATCAGTGACAATTGGTCTTGTATTTTCTTCTGTTATTGTAATCTAATGTAGATCTATGTTAAAATGTCTTTTTCTTTCATCTCGCAGTAAGTGACAATATTGTGGCTTTAAATATCAACACGGACCATTTGGCAATTTTCGATCTTGTAATTTATTAGCTTTTGGACGTTCAAACTTCCACCTATATCATACCTTATGATCCATCGTTATTTTGTGAAACGTGGACGTTTTAACAGACAGTCTTTTTAATTTAATTGAGAAAAGTAATATTATTGTTGAATATTCTTATCTTCGATCCTGATTCAAGAATTTGAAACATATGAACATATTTTCATTTTTTTATATCAATTATATCGAGTTTGACCAAGCTCCCCTGAAGTTTAACAAGCAAAATTTACCGTTTATTATTGTGGTCATATCGTCGTTGTTAATACTTGCCGGTTGTTGACAAGCTTGTTCCCCCCCCCCCCCCCCCCCCCCCCCCCCCTTTTTTTTTTCTTTGTATTTACTTGTAACCATTTAACTTGCACCAGGTCTGACGTACGCAGCTGCGGCTATGGGTGTGGCAGCCGGCTTTTTCGCCGGTGGTCAGCTGACAGAGAAGCTTTTTGTGGACTTCGACAGAATAGACCAGGAAAGGTATACGATTTTAAAGATTTTTTTAAAGTCACAAATTTAACGAATCTCAGTCAAAATCCTACCGAATGTCAGTCACAATCCTAACGGATCTTAAATAGTCACAATCTTACTTCATTTCAAAACAGTCACAATTTTACTAAATCTCAAACCGTCATTATCTTTCGTAATCTCAAACAGTCACAGTAATTACTAAATGTCAAAAATTCGCAATCTTACTAAATTTCAAAATAGTCACAATCCTACCACATCTCAAACAGTCACAATCCTACCACACCTCAAACAGTCACAATCCTACCACATCTCAAACAGTCACAATCCTACCACATTTCAAACAGTCACAATCCTACCACATCTCACACAGTCACAAACCTACCACATCTCATACAGTCACAATCCTACCACATCTCAAACAGTTACAATACCACATCTCATACAGTCACAATCCTACCACATCTCAAACAGTCACAATCCTACCACATCTCAAACAGTCACAATCCTACCACATCTCAAATAGTCACAATCCTACCACATCTCATTCAGTCACAATCAAACCACATCTCATTCAGTCACAAACCTACCACATCTCAAACGGTCACAAACCTACCACATCTCATACAGTCACAATCCTATCACATCTCAAACGGTCACAATCCTACCACATCTCAAACGGTCACAGACCTACCACATCTCAAACGGTCACAATCCTACCACATCTCAAACAGTCACAATCCTACCACATCTCAAACGGTCACAATCCTACCACATCTCAAACAGTCACATTCCTACCACATCTCAAAAAGATGACCATGTAATCCACTTTTGAATTACAAACAGCAATGCATGACTTACCGTTTAGGGGTTAAATGTTTTGTTTTATAGTTAAAATTGTCTATTGATTTTCTTTGTATGTCAAAAGACACTAAACAAGAAACACCAAACTAAGTCTTATCAATATGTAATAATAAAATAAATAAATAAACCGATGCAGGATGGATCGCACCGACATATTATTAAGAACACTTTATAGACAAAATGATGCAGAAAAATTGTCCCTTTTGGTGGTATCATAAACGTGACATTTGTACTGTGAGATCGCTACTTCTCTCTTCGTTATACACTGTTGAAATTCTTTCAAGCCTTGGATTCAACGCCCGTGACCAAAGATGGATTGGAGCGTGGTGGGTAGGATTCGTCATTTCTGCAGTAGGATTTTTCTTGATCGCTGTACCTATCTACGGCTACCCCAAATACATGCCAGGTGAAAAGAGGATTTCTATATCTTATGAATGTTTTTGTTACAATTATCAAAGTTCATGACAACTTTAACGTGAACAAAATTGTATTGAAATGCTCATGTATCATTAGTATTCATTATTCTACTGTTTCTGAAAGAAGATATACGTGAGTCAGACCTGATTTTCCTTTTTGTAAGCAGCTACAAATGGTTTGTCAATGAATGCCGAAAAGTTTTCTTTACGTTTTTGATTGGACGCTTAAAATTATATGAATTTTCATCGGAACAGGTTATGGACCAAGTGAAAAACCAAAACAGGAGAAAGACAAAAAGGGTGTGAAGCCAATGGTTATCTCTTTTTTCAAAGATTTATTAAAATTGGTAAGCTTTTATTTAGTTTTTTTTCTGGGGAGCGATTTCAAAACTCATAGCTTGTTAGAATTGATTCATTTTATGCATTGTCAATCAAGTAACTAGAAATTCCTACTAGTGTCGTGTCCCTTGTAATTTCTGAGTATTTTAGTATCCTTGTTAATGGGCGACCATGAAGACGTGCCTATTTTACACGATCAGCGATTTGAATTGATAAAATTGATAATAAATATAAAGTGTCATTGAATCTAAGCAATGTTTTGATTAACATGCTATTTACCAATTCACGCGCGGTCCGATTACTCTAAAGTAAGTAATTTTCGAGGGGTTTTATTTCCGGCATTTTTAAAGATAACTCCCACTTATATTTTCTATTGTAAAAAAAAATTCCGTGTGTAATAATATTTTTGGAAACAGATCTATGCCATGGTTCCATTCAACAGTAATACATATGTTAGTACTCAGCATCTATTTTTTATTTTCACCAGTTAAAAAACCCAGTGTACATGTTTATTAACCTGGGTGGATGTACAACATCCCTCATCATATCAGGAGTGTCAGCTTTCTCATTCAAGTTACTGGCGGAGCAGTATCGACTGAGCTTTGATGTTGCCGGTTACCTCATCGGTAAGTCGTTTCACAAGCGACCTAGGAACCTTGTAGTTGTAAATATGTTTTATCAGTTACAATATCCGGATGTACTACCAGTGGTTTAAAAAAAGTGTCACAAGAAAACACGAGTTGATTAAGTCGTAAGCCAAACTCAGAATGATGACACGGAGACAAGATAGGAACGAAAATACGATTAACGAAAACGATGTGTCCGGGTAAGTGCCTAGTGTCAGAGTTGAGCTTAACTAAAGTATACGCATATTGTACGATATGTAAGTAATGAAGTAATAAGGACAGTATGGACTATTGGAACCGCATTGAAATAATGTTCAAAATTGAAATATTATTTCTACAGTGAAAAATATTATTACAATAGTCGTCGCAGATTCATTTGAAATACCGCTACATAAAACAGATACAAAGTAATAAGTAAAATCGAGAGCGGTGGTGAAAATTTAGGTGTCGCGATAATCCCTTCGGCCGATGGACGCCCAAGTCCCTTTATAAGGGAAAAAGAAAATCCGAAGTTGTGATATGAAATATGGTGATTCAAATATCAAAAATGTTTATATAAACTTAGTACGTTACGTACTGTAGCCACTGAGCGTGAGTAATCACAGAGAAAACAATTCGTGAGACATTCCGAGGAAAGGAGTTTACCGTCACATGTCGGCCCCTCTCCATAAAAGGAATTGTTTGATTAAAAATAGGAAAATTCATTGTAAGAGATGAATGGACATGTAGTTACAAGTAAAAAGTATTTTTGTTAAAAATCATCAGTTAAATATACAAAATAGATAAATAAAAAATCACATAGGTAAATTATATTACTGAAATATTGAATTGTTAAAGAAACATACTTCTGTCCGCTGAATCATATCCTCTATGCCCACACAGGAGGCCTCATACTCGTTGGAGCTGTTGGCATGAGTGGAGGCGGAGTACTTGTCAGGATATTTAGACTGGAGACAATTGGGATGACACGTCTTAGCGTGTTGGTAGCTATGATGTCTTCAGCACTTGGGGCCAGTTTCCTTGCTGGGTGCCCAAACGTTAATTTGGTAGGATTGTCGGTGCCCTACTCTGACACCAGGTAGGTGTATTTTTGTTATGTTGTATAATATTATACAAGACTTTGGAGACATTTGTGTTTATCACATGTACACCAATAAGTAAACAAGTAAAACTTGATACTTAAAGACTTCAGTGAAAAAGAAAGTTGTGAAAGACAGAAAAAAATCTTCACAACTGAAAATCAATGTCCAATGTTCTTTTATCATTCAAGTACACTGAATGGCTACATCGATGCATGTCAAGGTTCATGTGACTGCACGTCCACCTCATATTCCCCTGTATGTGGTCATGACAATAACGTGTATTACTCCGCCTGTCATGCTGGATGCACGACTCAAGCATCAGGAGGTCAGGTAAATTAATTATATAGGCTGAATATGTCATGTGTATCGACACTAAATAGCAGCTCCTTCCATCTGGAACTGGAACTCTGGGCAGTTATTTTTTGTTTGCATGCCAAGCGCAAGCACAATAAAGAAAAATTAACAGTATTTAATTCATTAAGCTCATTTCGAGAAATAAAATGCACATTCATTTCCTGTCAGCATGCTTTAAGTAATGTCATAAACGCATTCGAATTGAAGAAAATAAGACCGCGAAATCTCATCAATCATGTGGTACATTCAACTGTAGTTATAAAAGGGGGACCAGTTACAGCTGCCGGAAGCTGCGTGGTTAACACACATGCGCATTTTACTATAAATAACCTTCTTATTGCAGATGACAACGTTCGGAAACTGTAGCTGTGTAGCCAGTCGTCTGAATGTGTCGGTGACGGATGCAAATGCTGCGGTTGTGTTGGGGAGATGTGATGATAATTGTACGAATCTTCAAATCGTTGTTCCTTGTATGTATCTCGCCCTACTCGTCATCCTCCTAAGTGTCACTCCTACATCCATGGTAACACTCAGGTATGTTCCCCATTTTATCTTATATACCGAATAACGGGTAATTTTCGCGGCAAACATTTTCGAGATTTTCTTTTAAAACGGTAGAATTAACGAATTAAAATATCGCGATCTGTATGTAATAGGACATCTAATAGATTAAAAGATAACCGGCTCTATGCTTCATTTTGTTTACTTTTAAGTTCCTAAAATTCTGATTTTGAAAATCCTTTATCTCAAATTCTTTACATTATTGACCTTGGAGTGAACAAACTTTCGTTTCAAACTGTCATTATTGTGTCTATTTACTCGTAAAGCATTGCTTTTAATACAAAAGTGCTCGTGATTCGTGTATTACAGTGAAGTCACAGAACCACAATAAAACTGTCCATTGATGACCAGTGCTGTTCATATTGCTGGTTATCTAAATAAAAACAAAACAACGCAGACTTAATTCTAAGCACTGTAAGCGGTTTTAGATAAGTTTGGGTAAAAACATACCATACACTGTAAACTATTTACAATTTGATTTGTGTTGACTAGAAACTGTTGACAATGAAGATGTCAAGGCTTTATCACTTATCCTTGTGAGACGCTGAAGAAAATCTTTGAACTGTCAACGAATAAAAGATATTTTTACCGAAGAATTTGGTGCTTTGAGCTATTCAGATATCTGCTTGACAATAGAATTGTACATTGTTATCTAGTTCTGTCCTTATATGGTCATAACAACCACTTCGGGTGAATATTGAAAGTACAGCTAGTTTCTGGTACATAAGATGCTGATATTATTACAGATATACCCATTTAACATATATTATTATTACACATGGGTAATATAACCTGTAGTGACGTAAGATAACGGTATGGCGTCGTACATTTTTGCATTGTTGGAGATCATAGATATAGAACCGAAATGACTTTCAGTTTGTCGTGAAAAAAAAAACGATATTCTACAATATATACCTGAATGATCAATGTTGAGATAAGAGATCATAAATTCGTTTGCTTTTCGTAGGAAATCAAACTCACCAAAGGCTGCTAAAATCAAATATTCTTGGATTTTCATTTATCACATACCATATGGGTTAAAACTCCTATTAAGTACTATATCTATGTAATTCGTTATGGTACGGGCACTACAAGTTAGTAATTATAGTTTTATTTCAGATGCGTTGACGAGGATCAGAAATCCTTTGCGGTAGGACTACAATGGATGTTTCTTAGACTATTAGGTATGAATCACTACTTATTTAGTATTAGCTTACGTCAGCGGGTCTTGATACATTTTTTATGCACCCGGATCGGAAGATCGGGGACATATTGGTTTTGTGCTGTCTATTTATCTGTTGTGAACTTTAACCTTGCTCTTAACTAGTGTACTGTAAGGCGTAAGGCTTTCATATTCGGCATGTGCGTTCCTTGTGACAAGACCATGTGACCTTGATCGTGGCTTTTGAAAGTAAACAATTAAATTGAATTAATGAAGGCATAAGAGCTTTTAAAATGTGCATGCAATGAGAACATGCCTTAAGATGTACAGTTTTAATATCTTACTTCATAATTTCGTAGCAACAGAGGACATAGTACTTGATAAACACTTCTTATTTTTCATACGCATTTAGAGTTGATATCAAAATTTCAACATCATTCAACAGAGTACAACTCTGAAATATTAGTAAGCGATTATTTGAAGAAGTTCCATGCCTTTTACTGTGGTGCGAGATTAAGGACAATTACATGCTTATGAATTTAATATGATGATAGCTCTAAGTTGCCATTTTCGCAACACGTAGAAAGCAAAGATTTAACCCTCCCATCAACTTTATGTATGTTTTGCATTAACACGTTTTACAGGTACAATTCCTGGACCTCTGTTGGTCGGGGCTGTCCTTGATGGAACGTGTGAGATATGGACGGAAATTCCTTGCACCAGTAGCAAATTCTGCATGATGTATGACCTTTCGCGCATGTCTACAGGGATCATGATGTGGTGGGTTATCGTATCCGCCTCGTCCGCCATGTTCTACCTTATGGCTTCAATACTTGCATCCAGAAACGAAAAGCATTTCTCGCTTGATACTGCGAAATAAAGTTATACATTGATATTTGTCTGCAATATACAGACTGTGCTGATTTCAGCAAATGCAAGTTTATGTTTTTTTCATCAGAGACCCAGGAAAGAGTTCTCAAGGTAAAAGTAACTATATGCATCGTGATATCTATACACTTATAGAAACGTTTCGTGTTTTACATACAATCCGGACGTTGGCAGCATAAAACGTGTTTTACATACAATCCAGACGTCGACAGCATGAAACGTGTTTTATATACAATCCAGACGTCGGCAGCATGAAACGTGTTTTACATACAATCCAGACGTCGACAGCATGAAACGTGTTTTATATACAATCCAGACGTCGGCACCGTGAACCGAGTTTTACATACAATCCAGGCGTCGGCAACATGACACGTGTTTTACATACAATCCAGACGTCGACAGCATGAAACGTGTTTTACATACAATCCAGACGTCGGCAGCATGAAACGTGTTTTACATACAATCCAGACGTCGGCAGCATGAAACGTGTTTTATATACAATCCAGACGTCGGCAGCATGAAACGTGTTTTACATACAATCCAGACGTCGACAGCATGAAACGTGTTTTATATACAATCCAGACGTCGGCAGCATGAAACGTGTTTTACATACAATCCAGACGTCGTCAGCAGGAAACGTGTTTTACATACAATCCAGACGTCGACAGCATGAAACGTGTTTTACATACAATCTAAACTTTGACAGCATGAAACGTGTTTTACATACAATCCAGGCGTCGGCAACATGACACGTGTTTTACATACAATCCAGACGTCGGCAGCATGAAACATGTTTTACATACAATCCAGACGTCGGCACCGTGAACCGAGTTTTACATACAATCCAGATGTCGGCACCATGAAACGAGTTTTACATACAATCCAGGCGTCGGCAGCATGGCACGTGTTTTACATACAATCCATACGTCGACAGCATGAAACGAGTTTTACATACAATCCAGACGTCGACAGCATGAAACGAGTTTTACATACAGTCCAGACGTCTTTGAAGTGGTGTCTTTTCACTGTTGGCAATATTTCATATAATGAAAAACTTTCAAAACATACAAATGATTAATAAAACGTTTGTAAAAGTATGACTCTTTGTATTCTAAATATTAAACGAATCAGTTAATTACAAGAAATTATACTGTAGTTATAATCAAGACGTTAAGAGCTGAAATTATGATAATTTTAATTCACTAGCTGTTGCTGCAGTAGTGTCATATAAAACGTTTTCATTTTGTGTTGAGAAAGATACGAAGCAATGTTTCTGTAGATACAAGAAAAGAATTGATATCTAAAATTTTCAAAAGGTTGATAACCCAAATGGGTCTATTGGTATTAAGATAAGTTAATGAATGCCGAAATATCATAATAATTACGTAAAAATATTACATTTCCTCGAAACAGTCACACCTTTCACAGAAATTGGGAAAAACAACCTCAAAGTAATGTAGTTGATGATAGATGGTTGATTAATTGATCCCCGTTTTTGTGTATGACAAGTACAATCACATCGGTTGAGGGATCGAATCTATTTTGCCCGCGCCCTTCACCTCTTCATTTTTACTTGTACTTAATCCTTATCCAAGGTTTAAAATGTGTTTTTTTTAGGTCTTCGTGTCAAATAGCAAGTAATTTATTTATGTTTTCTATACATGGCATAAACATCGCTTTTAAACTTATCAAATTGAATACTGGTTTAGAGCATATACTGTAACCGTAATTATTTTAGCGCAGTCAAATTTTAGCGCAAACACTGAAAACTGTAATGTATAATCTATTAGCGTGGACATGATTTAGCGCAGGTCGACCTCAAATCCAGAAATCCCAATATCTATAATTAGACACAAGAGCTCAACATTGTCCCGCGTATAGAGGTAGACACATGTTCGTTTTATTTTCAAAATTCATAGTCAGTTTTGCTTCCAAAAGTCGGCGGTTAAAAGTGCCAGAAGAAAGATCTACAGCCAGGTTTTAACGTGGATTTTCCCGTGGTCCTTTTGTAAGTCTTCAATGGAGTGCTTTCTTAACGCATGTTTACTGCTGAACAAAGTCACGAGACGTAAATATTTGATTTTCAGTTATTACAATGTTGTTTTCTATACAATTAAATTAACTAAGAGCTAACGCCTGTCAACCGACGTATTGCAAATATCTGAAAAATAACATTGATTTTCGAAAATGTTCATTGGATCATTAATTTGATTACAAAAAATGAAATATATTTGGAACAGAAAGTAGCGATGAATGCACTTTATTCAGTAGCAACACTTATTTGATGTCTAATTTAATCGTCAATCGTTGTGCATAACGTCTTTTGCGGATGTGATTTAAGCTCATCTGGATAATTTGACTTCATGTGTTAACGAAGAGTGCGTGACGTCATTCTGTGGTTTGCAGCATTTCTAGAGGGTTGTTTAAAATACTACATGTCCTATCGTTTCCATTAAGACAGGATTCTGGTAAGGAAGAATGTCATTTCCATTGCAGCAAGGATGTGATTAAAGCCTGAAATGATTTTCAACAGTGCAGGCGATTACTGAAGTTCTCACTTGAGTGCCAGGCTTCTTCGCGCTCACACGTCGTAAAATATTTCAACTGTAGATGATAGGATTCAATGGAATGATAAACGTCCTGATTCTCCTACTTTCTAGTTAGGATTTCGAGCACACAGAGTCGTCTTGATTTCCAAATAAGAAACAATTCCAGACGCGGAAAATGTGCCATCAACCTTTTGCTAACGTGATTCCATTAACTAGGTGACTGGTTTCCAGTTTTAAGTCGTGAATGCTGTTAAATCCGCGACTGCCTTAGAAAGTAAATAAGTTGTATGATTTACTTACAAACAACGTATCGTTATTCGGCTTCCAAAACCAAATTTCTTTACATTTAAACTTCGAAAGAGCTTCATACCAGAGTCCATGGTTCCGTGATGATGTTCTTAAGTGGTTTTATACAATATATAAGTTACAGGTGGGTAACAAAATCTGTTCTCTCTACGATCCCATTTTTTGTTGAATTATGAGTATCATGTCCTACGTCAGCGCTTATCTGGTAGCCATTGTTTACTTCCGGTTTCATCTCCTTTTCTGAATCAAGTGTTTTACTTTTGTACATGATGCTGGCAAGGAAGAAAGTAACGGCACTGAACAACTTGACAGCAATCCACCACAGAAATAGACGCCAGCCCATCTCGTATCTATCATACACATAGCAGGAACCCTCAATACCACAGAGATCTTGCCAAAGTGCGCATGACGAGTCTATCACATATCCGGTTAATACGGGCCCTGGTATTGTACCTGAAAAAAAACCTATGGAAATTCATTTCAGTACTTTTCATGTTTATTACGTGCTGTTTCAACATTTAAACATCTAGAAGATTATCATAGTAAGTATATATGCTTTTTAGTGTTGGTCGTCGGTATGGTTCATGCTACTGTTCAATATGGTGTCAGTGCACACATTTTATGTATTTCTTAAATATGTAGTGATTTTGTGATTCCTTAGAATGTGTCACCAACTGAATTGTCATCGGTTTTCGAGAGGTATATCATTCACTTTATCAACACACTAACTTCGAACTTGAATATGGCGCTAATCGTTATAAAGCGAGTGAAAGTTTTGGAAGTTTAAAAACTTGTATTTGTGTATTTAGTCTTCACACACTGTTAACATGCTACTTAATATAAAGAAGATAATATTCCAAGTTTACTATTATAGTTATTTCACAATTTTAACTTGGAAAATGTATAGGCTCTGGCCGTCCTTACACAGGAACGACCAAATTCTATTAAAACTTGTAACAGTCCTACCCAACAAACGTAGAGCCACCCACTGTAGTCCTAAACCCAAGGCTCTGTGCTCATCGGGAACACATCTACAAAGTTATAAAACAGTAAATAAATTATTTAGCTGAAACACACAATGTTATTCACAGGTTTCAAGTTTGTTTTCGTTTGATGAAATTGCCTCGTTTGATTTTACGTAACTTTCTGTTGTCAAGGAGTATGATTACTAAATTTGTAAGTATGATAATTTAAATTACAATGTGTTTATGAGACAAGATATTCTTCTTCTACTGTAAAAGATGTATTTATACGTATAAGTGAAAACACCGTTAAATATGAACTTAACGAAATAATTTATCTTCAACATATTTATTTTTGGACTCATTGGTCGAACAAATGCATGATTCGCTGTAGGCGATGAAGTAAAGGCGTTAATAACTTACCTCAAGATTGCCATGGAGGCCGGTGTGACTGTGGTCAGTGTTAACAGCATACCGATAAGGAGGAGGACAATGAAGGCATACATCAGATCACATGTCTGACCACACTCGCCGGACTGGGCGGACGGGTCAATGGTCAAACCAGTGGAGTTAAGACGATCATGTATACACTCACAAAATGCAAATGTCTGTAAAATAAAACCATGGTGTCAAAAGTTGGAGGTTGATGAAAACTGTGGGTAAGTATTACAGGTCGTCATGTTTCTTTGTGCGATATGATGCTGAACCAGTTTGATATTCATTAAAACGTATGAAGCATTTATCAAACATTGTAATACAATGTTATATCAACTCATTTTCGATATAATTTGTGTAAAGTCGAAATTAAGCAAGATACTAAAAGATATTAAGAAAATTATCTATCCTCGAATCGTCCGGCGTCGTATATTTCTCTCTGAAAGCAATAGATTTACAATGAGAACATGACGTCTTGGTGACGTCATAACTTGCCTACCTTTACGACACCGTCAACAGTGAAGTTGTTGTTACACCCGGCGTGACAGGGGGAGAAATACGTCACACCGTCCGAACCACAGATAGGTTCATACGTGTACTCCTGACATCCACAGTTAACATTACAGGAGGACTCCAGGTTATCAGTCGGGTTTATTTCTCTGATGATGTGAAAAAAGCCATACTACAAAACCATAACGTCCAAATTTTGTCTTTTTTTAGAAGTTAATAATATACATAAACCCTACTGTTCATAAATGGAAGTTGTTTGGATACATCCACTTTTTAAAGAATTAGAAGAAAATACTTTTCAAAGTTGAAAATCTGGAGATGCACGTCAAAGAAGTTAGTGTTATACGTATAATGTTCTTCCGTTTGGTCTTTATCTATATAAGTGTTTGTGTCTTTCACACGTGCCACCATATGGCGCAGTCGAAGTCTCCTCTCAGTGGCAATGATACCGAGCATTTAAATATGTTGTCATTTGAATAATTCATAATTGTCAATATCAAAATTCATTATTTCCGGAAAATATATGCCAAACAAATCAAAAGAAACATGGTATTTACATTACTTAAATCGATATCTTCTACATATAAAGTTACATAGAGAAGATTTCAGTTGTACAAGTTTTCTTATGATCTGACTCAATTTTATTTGAATTCTTTTTAGAATTTTCAATGAAAGTCCATAATCAACACTTACTCTCCAGGATAATACGGATAATTCAGTCCTGCGAAATGGAATTCCGGACAGTTGATAAATAGGCCCCCTCCAACCGCTATAGCCATTATAGACAAAAGTACACACAGTCTTAACATTCCTTTTGCTTCAAGCTTAAAACATTTGATGAGAACACCTCCGAGGATCATACCACCAGCTCCTCCTCCGATCGTCACAGCCCCTGTGTAATGGATACGTGATATACTATGGAAATAGGAAGATTTCAGAAGAACATCAACGTGACAATACATCACCTTATAAAATCTTACGAATAACATAAATCCGTTATGTGGTATACAAACCCATAATAAGTCCTGCTTCAGCCGGACTTATGTCGAATTTCTCCTCGAGAATCTTCGGTGCAAAGGCTGACAATCCTCCAATAATTAGTGTTTCTGCACATGCACCCAAAATCATGCAGATGTAGCTCGGATTCTTCAGCTGTGAATTATCAAATATGTCAAAACTTCAATAAGCATACTTAAACAAAACTTGAAATAAAATTCATGGATTACTAGAGTAAGGAATAACCACCAGTAGCAATCAAATGAAAATAGGATTCATATAATAAAACCAGGAGAAGATTAAAGTGTTACATTTAGATGACCACACTGTCACCTCCACAAATGACCACAGTGAAACGTATTAGCACTGACGTATGGTATGGATTTTTTCGACCGTATTTTAATCTTATCTACACTAAGGTAGAAAATAATGTGACGAGATGGTAAAAAATGTAGGAAAACAATGCACAGCAATAGATTCGGATACACTTTACATTGTAGCATCGGATAAAAATACACTTTGCGACACTTTGCGAGTCCTGTAGAATCCTTGAAGCTTTCATACACTAGCAATCCATTCCCATTTTATCATTTAGATCATTTCTGTTTATTTAACAATTTAATCTCTAAAGAATTTAATACCAAAATGTGATTCTTGTATGAAAGAATATGAAATTCGGAGAGTCCTTGACCTTGTTCCACTTGACCGACAATTGAAAAGTTTGCTTTTTGTTACTAACAAGAATATGTTACTTACGAGGACAAATATAGCCTTCGGAAACTCCTTGACCTTATCCCACATTGACCGATGGTCATTCTTTGTAGCCTCTATCCGGGCTCGATCATTTTGTGTTAACCTTGCCGCTCGAATATGTTCGGTTCCTATAGAGAGAAAGTGCATATATTAAGACCTCTGACGCTTTATATTAGAAATTAGAAAATTTTATAGTTGACACGTGAAATAAAAGCATGGGGATGCAAAAACATCCATTTTTTTATACCTATATTGTTTGAGAATTTTGTTTATTTTTTTCGTAATATTTTAAAACCATTTTCATTGTATCAGAAAGTTATCCAGATAACCTAAACAAGGCGCTATAGAAAATTTAGTAAATGATATTTTTTCATCTTACGTGTGCCAGTAAATCTGACAACAAAAAACATAAACTAGAAATGCATCCTCAAAAACGGAAGTTTACAAGGTGAAGGTCAAACAGATTTACCTGGAAGATTGACCGGGTATCCCAATACCGGAAGTGCGAACAGGAAGAAAAGGACCGCAGTGACAACGAATCCTACCCACCATGCCCCTATCCAGACAGAGTCCATAGGAGTGAACCCCTCATACACACTATTAAAATGTGATTATATCAATTAGAATTAATTTATGCTTCTAAAATCACGATAAAACCCAATATGAATTGTTATCTTGCAGTTGAAAACTTCAATTCTATGTACTAGTAACTCAGGTAAGTAATTAAACAGTTATTTGGTAACTGTATTATCTATTTTTACAGAAATGCCTAACAAAAGTTCTTTTTCATTTTGAAAATGAAAATTATCATTAACTGCAGAACAAAAGCTAGAAATATCAAAGACTTGTAAAAGGCGTAACCATCTGTAAGACTTTATACTAACGTTTTCTCCACCCTGTTAAAATCTATCCATAAATTCAGGAACTGGCCTCCACCTATGAACCCTGCGGCCACACCAAGGGCAGTAATCGCGTATATCAAACCTGAAAGGGTAGAGTTGATGTTAAATCATTGGTATAACAGCACAAATATTAATGGAGGGACACTTCATCATTGTCATATTTACATTGATTTTTTTAAAAAATTATGTTTCTTCTCCTTTTGTGATGTAATTTAAAATGTTCCTATCTTTTCGAATTATGTTCATGTATACAAATTTGGAATTATTACATGATACATATATATCATTATATTATATACCAAAACATATTTTCTCCTGAAGACATGAATCTATTATTATCTCATTATTTCAAAATTCGCATTATTTAACGAATTTAGGCTAGGCAATTGTTCTTGTGATTTTCAGTTAACCTGTTGGCGTTTTTGTTGGATTAAGCATACCAAATAGACTTCCAACTCGTTAATCTTTGTATATTAATTCAATAAAGTCCAAACGATAATAAAACAAAAAGGCTTGTTGTATAAAAATAAGGCAATATTAATATTTCTAGACAGATCAATTATCACGAACTAAAAATGACCCTTACCAAGATATAAAGCAGTAGACTCAGTTTTTGCGTTGTCATCAACATAAGCTGTTCCAAGGGTGAAGAACGGCGTGAAACCAATACCGTGCACAAATTGAGCTAACATGAAGACGTATAGATACCCGGATGTATCACCGGAAGTCTGTTCTGCGCATGGGTCTGGGTTGTTCGGATCACAGATATTAGTAGCATTTCCACCTACGTCTGGTAAAGAAATACAGTATTTAAACGTGGATATTAAAAATTACAATCAATTAAAAAAAAAAAAGAGCCCGGAGAAAATAAATAAGATATTTAATGAACTGTCGATGATTACTATTTAGACGAAAAGTAAAATGTCTTCAGATTTAGTAATTCCTGGCAAAAATTTCTCTCTTGAAGGTGTTTATTTATGTCAGATTAAAAATCTACCGACATTTGACGCTTTATTATAATTTTTTATTCAGTTTTCTTATATTTATGTATTTCAACTCTTAATGGGGAAACTTGTGCTTCGTGATAGATAATAGACTAACTTTACTAAATTAAAGGATGTCGTCGTTAAGCAACTACGTTAGAACAGAAAATAAACATCCAATTGTCATGAATGTTTTAAAGACAGTACAGGTTGTATCCGCTGCCAGTACGATGTAAAAATATAAAGTTTGTACAAAAGACACATATTTAGAATAAGATACGATGCAGTCAAATAATGAAGCGAAATGCATCATAATTCTAATCTGTCTTCTAGGACTCGTCAGTGATGTTGAAGACCACGACAATTGAGCGCCACGAAAATGCGTGGTTTTACAGTAAAATCATGCAAGGAGTTAATCCATACAACACAAGTTGTTATGAAACCATCATTATTTCATTCCGTGGCACTAACAACGTGCTCGTCTCAAACGATCGGAGTAACGTTTATACTTAATTATATTGGAAACAAAACCGCCATCGTTATCAAGGGCGGAGAGACCTTTTCATATCTATGTGAACTGGAAGTGCGGCCTATACTATGCCATCCAACCGCCCAACACACCTTAACACTCCTTTTCTGACGTTATCAATTCCAAATAGACACTACCAGTATTTGGAAGTTTTCCATTTGAGAAAAATATGTATCACCGATGATGAAAAATATTTGTATATACTTCATGATATCAATAACGAATGATTCATAATCTTAACAGCTATTAACAATATAATTTGTATCAATCTATATTGATTCAATGATTATCTGTACCTATAGAAGAAATATCGTAAGTGTCCGAGAAGATGTGAGGGATCAGAAATATCAGTGATCCTAACATCATCACCAGTGTGCCTCCCCCTAACCATCGAGGACGGTGTCCTTTCGAGCCGAAGTAACTGACGAGGAGGACAAATAGGATAGCTCCGATATCTGTTGAGCTGACGATTAAGGCGGATTGTGAGCTTGAAAGGTTATAGCGTTTCTCCAAGGTTGTCAAGACAATGTTGACGACGCCATTGACGGCAGCGCCCTCTACGAACCCAATCAGGCACAACCAGAGTACATAAAACTGGATCTTGTTGAAACATTGGAAACATCTGAAGGAAAAGAAAGTAAACTTTTTAATATTATGATATTAGGAGTCACATCATTATCAAATGAATTTTCATATGCAAATATGAGAATTTACATTTTTTATTTATTCAGAATGTTATATTTGATTCACTTCTAAACAACGACGTTCTGCAAACTTCAACAAATACATGTTTAATCAGCATAGCAAAACATGTCGTACTCATATCTGTTGAAGTACCTTCTGGGGGGAAAGATACACTTTCACCAAAGTAAGTTATACTCACCTCAGTGGTCCGTATCGACATTCTAAGTCGTTGTCGTCGGTTCCATTTTTAGTTACGGATCTCTGAAGAAAAGGAAAACGCTTTACGAAAAGGCAACGTCATGTTGATGAAATGTTTAGAATTATCATTTATAGATACAAAGGTATGTATATCAAATCCGAAACTATTGAGTCTTACATTTAACAAGTAATTTCATGTATTATTTTGTACATACTACACTCAATAGTTCCTTACATCACACATCACGATATTTACCATGCTTAATCACATGGTACTGTTGTAAATGATATAAGAATTTTCAGTTATGCCAACCTCATTGAAATAATTACCATTTTTCATAGCAAAATGAATTCAGATTTCCTGTCGTGTTTTGCGCTGGTGATATAACATTTTTCTTATTTCGCTGTTAATTAAATGAAATGAAATAATTAGAATGTACCAAACGTGTTGTTGTTAGATTAAATTAGATGCAAATCCCTTACCTTGCTTAAGTCGTTTCTGTCCAAGTCTGAGAAAGCCTTGTTGTCGAAGCCTTTAGTCTCCTACATCAAAAATAAAAACAAAGTGTTATTATTTTGTTATTGAATACAAAACATTTAAAGCTTCAATCGCTCTTTCTATTGTACTTTTGATCTGGTATGTTCAACCATTGAAGGATTTTCTTATCTCTTTCTTCAAAGATTAAAAAAGATATTCTGACATCATTTATTGAGAACATGTTGGTAACGTTGATTTTGACTTTGTATGGCTGATGTCACCAATGATTCTAGAATGAATATTCAAAGAAAAAGAATATTTTTGTACAGTTCAGATGCAGGTTGATAAAAATTATGGACAAGTTTTATGGTCGCCATAGTGATCTTATTTAGAAATATTCTATTTCTTTGTGCGACATGAAGCTGGACGTTTTTGATGCTCGTTTGCCTCTTGGCTCGGTTGTTGTATACCTTGTTCTCATTTGAAAACGTGACAATAATTACACGGATAGACCAAAGTTTACATGGCGGGTGTCGCCGATGGAGCAGAAGACGCTTACTCTTTTGGAACACGTGGTCTTATTATTCTTATAGTTTTTCAGAAGTGTACATCCTTCTTCTGTTCATATTTTGCCCCAGTTTTATGGAATTATGATTTTGTTGCCATGTTGGTATTTTCTTGATAATTTTTTTATATTTAAACATTGGATTGCCCTGTTATGGCATTTATGGTCGTTATTAATGAAAGAAAGTCAAGCTGCATATCGCGCGCTAGCTTGTACGTGTGCCTGAAAATCGCCGCCATTCATAACGGACATAAATGCCAACGTTCAGTGCTTATATTAGCATTCGTAACACAAGTTGCTGCCTTTCGATGTTTTTTATTTACTTAAATTATTATTATAAAAAAATTATTATTCGTTAACAATAGCGTAATCCGTCAAGTGGACCAGCAATTTCATGATGAACGATTGCCGTTTCTATGCCAACAAAAGTGTCGTCATAATGTACATTAAATCATACTTCTTTCGAATTAGTCTTTACAGTGACATTTCTATGCCATTGTAAACTAAAGCTCGTTACATCTAGGAATGAAATATTATGATATCAAATCTTACATCTGGGTACACTATTGGTTACGTACAGATGTAATACTTACCTTTTTCATAATTAATGTATTGTATTATAGGTTTGTCGGATGTAATTATACGGGGTTAGAATTTCCCTCACTATCTATATTATGATTTACCTGTTTTCTTCGAAAAATTGTGTAAAAAATGATAAAAAATGTCAATGAATCGACAATAAAACAATATAAAAAGTACAACCATGCTGAATAATAGTAAGTATTTGGTCAGGTTTATTATAGGTTATTTAATTATTGTTAACGTAACGTTTGAAGAATCATTTAAACATACAAATGCAGAGATAGATAATACACTTCATGTATATTCATTTTATCAATAAAGTCTCACTTCGAAACGAAGTAGCTTGTTTCTATTTTCCTTTTCAACAACATCAAAAAAAGTGAATTGTGAATATTTAAAAAAAATAACTACAAAGTGTGGATATATATTATATAAAAAAGGCAGTTCTAACTTAGGTCGCCAGGAACGTTTCATTTGATATACTGTTATGTCTTTGTATCTATTCCTGTAATATATCCCATTTGTACATGGTAACAGGACACTACCTTAAACGATAGCGAAGGACGCTAACAATCAGTTATATTAGTGATGTGAGTGTATTGGAAATAAGAAATAATTACCAAACAAGTGCTTCGGGCTAAGCAATGAAACACTTTCTTATGATGAAATATAATCACTAAGAAATGTATGATATTCAACGTCATATAGTTGTATACAACAACGGCATCATTCCAGAAAGATTCTGACCGATTTACTGTATATTTCATAAAATGCAAACTTACCTTCATTTCTTAAAATCCGATTGAAAGTCGCAGTTTTTATAAGCCCAATTGAAAGCCACAACGATATGTACTACTGCGTTTTTCACACTCCAATGAATTTGAATGTCTCAAAGGTATGTATAGTTAGCCTATTGATTTTCTGATAGTTTGTGTAAATAGTTTTGCTTTCTTTGCTTGCCTTATAAGACAAATATGCTTTGAATATTAACCATTAAATCCATGGTAGGTCAGTCAACAAAGGGAAGAGAAGATTCAACCAAGTACTTTTGTACGTAGTATAATTAAACGTGTTTAAGAGAGAAGACACAATTGACATAGACCCAATGTTTACGGGTAGTCTTTATAAAACTGGATAGCGGTCAGCGCGCTTCACCATCACAGGTGACAATGGCTAAACTGTTTGTATAAACGACACCTAGCTGGTCAGGTGGTTACTGCAAGCTCGGTATAGGGCGGTTATATTCACAACAATAGAAAATTATGAGTGTCGCATCATAGGGGAAGATATGCCACGTTGGTTTTGTTGATTAAGAATTGAATGTGCAGGTACTCTTGGATATTATAATGCTAGATTCATAGCATTTATTGATTTATTATCTATGTTTTTTATATTGCATTATGAGTAGATACATCTCTGTTTAGCATTGTCTAAATAAAATAGATTTCCGCTTAAAGAGGTATTATGCTTCTGACATGCAATAAACTGACACTGCTAAAACAATACCAGTTATTGTGAACTACAAAGTATCGGAAAAGTTGAAAATGTTCTTGTTATCCGACGTATTTTATATCGATAACGTACATATGATACTTATCATTATCTTATATTATATAAGAAATTAACACATTGATGTATACTAAAATAAACAGAAACGCAAAATTTAATTATGCAATCAATAGCTTATGATATTTTGAGAATCTGTACAAAATTTTTATCAATGTGAAGGGACAAGTCTACTCTTCACAATAGTGCAGAAGAAAAATATGTGTGACGTCACCCTTGACGTCAGAAGTTACTGTGTTACACACGAAAAACAGAATGGCACTTCAGTAACTGATGTGTGCGAGCGAATTCCTGCACGGATTCTCAAATGCATTGAATTTACGAGAACATGGAATCGCCTTAAGTAAATGTTGATTCATTCTTGTGCTAATGCTGCGATCAACTAGTTAGGGAGTTTTGACGTATCCTAATACGTCTGTCCAGTTCGTCCCACAGATACTCAATAAGAGACATATCAGGACTATATGGTTCGCCATTCCAGAGGATGAACGTTGTTTACCGTGATAAAATCACGTCAGATTCTAACAACATGCGGTCGAGCATTGTCTTGCTGGAAATATGGGTTATGACGTCTGAGAAGTGGAAGGGCATTTGGATGGGGGATCGGCATTGAGGTTTGGATACTGGACCACCAAAGGGGATTTCACTCCATGGTAGATGTCTCCCCAAACCATTACAGAAGCCCCACTAACCGCGTCTGCAATATACCCTTTTTCTTCCGTTGGAGCGATACAGACATAATCTAGACTCATCGGTGAACATCACTCCATCGACGCATCCCAAACCTATTCGGGACATGTCTGCGCATCCAGGTGGCCTGACATAAGATCGGTGCGCAACAATTCTGTCGACATGCAAGCGGTTCCTGGCAGTTTGAGCACTATTGGGTTAGTCATTAGTACCTAACGTATGCGAAGCAATCTCTGCAGCAGTCTTGAATCTGTTGCGCAAGTGCGACAATCGAATCTCCTTGTCTTGTCGTGCGGCCGTTACCCGACAGTTCCTAGGCCGATCGAACAATAACCCAGTAGCATTGAAACGTGTATAGAGACGGTTGATTGTACACGGGGCAACGACAAACTGTCGTGCGACAGCAGTTTGGCTATGATCATCCATCAACATCGCAATTACTCTAAATTTGCGTTAAGCGTGGCATCTCGGTCAATGGCGAAAAAAAAATGCAACGTGGAAAACTGAACTTAGTGTATTCGTTGAAATTATTCATTTGAAAAAATCGGCTTGGCGTGATCATGCCGCATAATTTGGATAATGTCAGATAAATAATAATTAACAATTAAATAATTATTTATTTAAAAAAAATCAAACTTTCCGTATATAAAGTTGAAACTTAAATGACGCTGTAAAATATCGGTCGTTCCTATGAAGATCACCCTACCAATTGATAGAAGATATAGAAGCATCGTGATACATTTCATTATCACATACGGTGGGACTAAACATTCACACGTACTATGATGACGCACACATGACATTAACCTGAAAACTAATCATTTGCATCAAAAGGAAACCCCAGAAGGATTATTAGAGGTTAATCACAATACTGATATGTGATAACGTACAATGTATTCTTCAATGGCGCTGATTAAATTTTTGTGTTTCGTAATATAAATATTGGCTTTACAAACATATTTAGAGAATACATGGCCAGTGTCTTAAAATATAAGCTGTATTTTGGCGAGGGTGAAGAAAGACTGATCAGGTGTTCTTACTATCTTGCAAAATTGATTGAAAATCTTATTTTTGAAAATGTTTTGTTGTCCAATCTGTGTTTACCTGACGTTGACGTTACTCCGAATTTTGTTGGTGACGGACGCCAAAATAATTGCTCCGCGCGGAAAGATAGTTCGGATATAACTGCGATTTTTATTAATTTTCATCAACTTGTTTTTTACAACATGTAAAAATCATTTGTTTCATGACGAATTTGTCCGGTTTATATTCATAAAACCATGAATGACAACTGAAAGCCGTTCAATGGTTGTATATACTGATTTCTAATATCATCCTCCTCTTGATTTTTTTTATTGAAATTTAAAGTTATGAGATAAAAACCAACAACTGATATACAGTGTCACAGGATTTCGTTCCTAAACATACGTACTGGTTCAGCCTTGGTTTTTAAAGGCGGACAAAATGTTTGAACACTAAATTATATATTATGTTGTTAATATAATGTTCTGTCAAAACCCTTACATTTTACGACTGAAAAAACACTGCCAATATTTGAGAAATACATTGAAACGTCGTAAACAAACAAAACAAATAGATAAATGAAAAATCATGAGTACAGGTCAGTGTCAACTACAATCGTAACCAATCACTATATGTAAGATAACCCAAGGTTGCCACACTTTATCATTCAGAGTATTAATGTGACGTAATGGTGGAATTAACACCAGAGACGCCTGTTGTAATGTCGAGTATCGACTATTAGCGGTATCGCAAGTTATAATGTTACTGAACAATACGTCTGTAATACTGTTGTACAACAGTACAACTGTACCTGATTTCCCCCATCGAAGGCAATTTTTAATACGTAAACATATTTGTTTGGGATTGTTTTAGGTTTTTAAACAAGCAAACCATTTATTTATGTGCGCAACGTTTTGCTTTAATATTTCAAAATAAGATATTTGAAGTTGTGTCATTTAATATTTATATTTTTAAAATGACATGCAGATTTACATTAGCTCCGTGTATTGGATGGCATAGTTAATTAAAATGGTATTCTTCTTGATATTGAGCCTCTTGCAAATAAACTATCAGCTGGCTTTCTCAATTATGTATTTCAGACATTAAAGCATTGGTTTGTCAATTAAACAAGTGTGTTAATATTCAACTGTAAAAATATTAAATTCAGTTGATGACTAATTGGTTAATTAAATCGGTTTGTGTTAAATTGTATAAGCTCAATAAAATGGACAATTAAATCAATCTTCATAAAATCCTCATGGTTTATACCATTTCATTTATAATGGTCTAAGTTGCAACTTCATAAAATCCTCATGGTTTATACCATTTCATTTATAATGGTCTAAGTTGCAACTTGATGAAAATTATGGGGAAAATTTACTGTCGTCATAGAAATCTCACTGAGAAATATTCTATTTCTTTGTGTATTGTGAAGTTGGACGTGTTTGATGCTCGTTAATTTGCTCGTTGGTTCCGTTGTTGTATATTTTGACATTAGTTACTTGGATTGACCAAGAAATACATGCGGGTATCGTTAATGAAGCAGAAGACACTTATTCTTCAAGAACACCTGATCTTATTCTCCTTGTACATTTTCAGAATTCTCCGTGTAAATCTTTCTTTTGTTCACATTTGCCCTATTTTTATTGAATTTGTGTTTGGATTATGATTATGTTAACATGTTCCTACTTTCATTTTTGGTACACTTCTCCGTAACATTCCCCTGAAATTATCATACAATACTGTATTTATAAAATAAAAACCCACCTAGATTTTAAAATTTCATACGATCACTTTGCATTTTTCTCAGTAGCCTCCTAGCTTTCAAAATTTAGGCCTTTAGCATCACTGACGAATCCTTGAAGGACGAAGCTGCTTATTTGGCACTACTTCATCTAATTTTGTGCGTCTTTGTTCGATCTTATGAATGTAAAACTCGTTTTGAAGACATCAAGAATCTTAGACATATGATATATGGTTTACATTGGGATAAATAGAATGTGTTTTATACGTGGCTGTTAAGCATATATAATGAATCCTGAGTATGGATATTATTATCACACACAATATATTGACAATTTTTTTTATTAAATACTTAAAATTCAACACTTAAAGACATGACATGATACCTTGGAGTTTAACGGAACCGTAATGTAAAAATTCATAACGGCTATTTTTTAGCTTTAAAAAAAAGTTTATAAAATTCTATTTTCGATCAGTCATCTGACTAGTGAACCGTGGCCTTATTGGTCAAAATTTGACCAAAATTTAGATATCGTGCGATTATACGAAAACTGGTATGTAGATGAAGCTTTGCACTAGAATCACAATGGTGACATTCCGATTGGGTAAGACTTCCACCACGAAACGACCTTGAGGGGTATATAGGTATTCTTTGACACCAGTAACACCTTGATGGAGTCCTTTTCCTCATTTAACATAATAGCTCCCAAGGAGCCTGTTGATTGGTTGAAATTTACTTATTGTCTGATTTTTATGAAAATCTGTACATAATCTTTGTCTGACATGACAACAAAACGCTGATATTATTTTTCTTATTGGACAAAATTGCTGCCCTACACAGACGTCTAAAATATGAAATTCAAATATTGTTCAATTTTATCTCACATTTCTTACCAATCTTAATGTAACACTATATATACATCCATAAGGACTGTGTGGATGTTTGGGGGACATATGTAACGGCGCCCATTACTAATACAACCTGCTGTTAATACATTTATTATCACGTACCGAGAGCTTTAGCAGTCTCACACACTTTATTGACACAGGCTTAGAATTCACAGAAACAATGATAAATCGAAATTAATCTAGTTGCTGACACATGATGACATTTCTCTCCTCTTAATGATGTTCCAACTGCTAATTTTTTTTATAGTTGATAACACATTTATTAATTTTAATGACGTTTGTTTAAGCATTAAAAGATCTTAATGGTGTATCATTTGCAAGTATAAATACAATATGGGCATCAGACAAAAATAAATGACATACGTGCATTATTGTTGTAACATTGAATACAGGATATCCAAACCTGGTATTAACAGGATTTTTTCAATACGACACGTTGGTTCCTGATTAGAATATTGACATGGTTGTGATATTCAGATTTTGAACAATGTATGTAAATCACTCACGATTTGTTATATTTAGAACACAAACCTGTTTCTCCTGCCTTCCGCTTTCCTCGGGGCGGTGCACCTCCGTCACGCCTGGATGCACTCGGGTCGACATTTCGATTAACCAGGTATAGAGCCTATCCGTTTATTTCTCACGCTTTGGTTTGACTAGATCTGAGGACAATTATTTTATTACTTGATTAAAATTAATGGTTTTACAATAGGCAGTGTATTGGGTATAAGATATCCCTGTTTATAAATGGTGACCCTCATTTACAAACTGGCATATATACAATATACCGGGGCAGCGTATTCTCAATTACTGTGTCGCTATAAAATTTTATCTTTCTCGGTTACTCTAACAATACACGACATCCACATCAGTGGTCAGTCAAGTGTCCATGCTGACGTAATGGTGTATCCCTTAGTGGCGATATGTCGCCACGTTGGCATGTATCATACATAAAAGATAGAAATTTACTGTCTGGCAAATACTAATATAACACATATTTGATATAAAATATTACGATTTTCGGTTAAGTCTTAAACATACAGGATATTCAGGGTATACTTACCGCTTTCGATGAAGACAAAAGAAAACAGTTCCATTTTATTTCATGGGACCAAATATAATGATTTTTAGAGACAGTACTTGAATTGATCAAAGTTTACACGGCATATGAAGTCGATGAATTAGAAGACGCTTACTCTCCTTGAACACTTGGTTTTATTCTCCTTGTACTTTTTAGATGTCTTCCGTGTAAATATTTCTTTTGTTCATACTTTGCTCAAGTTTGATTAGATTTGAGTTTGGTTTATGATTATGTTGACATAGTGGTATTTTCTTGTCGTATTTTGTAGTCTGGATATGTTAATCAACACATTTTTGTTAGCCAAATTATAATGCTAAGATAATAAGCAAATAGTGAAATGATGATAAAATGTTCCAGTTTTGATAACGGAACTGGCGAAATATAGAAAAGCAATTTATGCACGTGCATATACATGAAGGATTTTCTTCAAAATATCTTTCGTTTGAAAACAATCACACGTATCCACTATATTTCTTGTCATCCCTAAAACATTTTTTGATTGGATCTGATTTGATGTCATTATTCAATTAGAAATAAAGCAAAAACATATATATATGAACTTTAAGTGGAGCCGCAAGTAAAAAGAACCACCCACTTCACATTACAAAAATAAAACACCACATTTTACAAAAAAAATAGTTGTTGAATAAAATCACTTCAAACCCATTAATTAATTATAAATCTCGTATGCACATCTGCTTGAATTGACCATATGTAAACTAAGGAAAATCGGTTTGCTGTGATTGGTTATTCAGTAAGCTTTTATATATCAATTTTTGGGGCTATACAAAATACACAAATCCATTTCTGCATTCGCCCAATGTTATTTTCGTCCTTTTTGACATAAACTGATAAAAAATCAAACTTTTCTGCATTTTTATTAGCCCATCTTTTATTTTCACTCTCTTGGTAAGGGGACGATAAAAGAGAAAATTTCACCATACCTATCTGGTGATCAATACTTCAATGATGGGGATAGGTGTTTAACATGAGAGTGGAATAAACACGTGTTAGATATTCACTTTTACCACGTCTTGATTTACATTCTTTTGAAATTATATTTAACAATTTGATTTCTCGTTCCAATAGATAAATCCCCCAGCTTAATCATACAGGATACGTCACGAAACAATCTAACACATAGCATAGGTCAGCTGACACAAAGACTGGTGCAAAAAAATATATTGGTCATGATTATTTTCCCCAATTCAAAGATCAGATTCTCATGACATTCAATATAGGATTTCAAAACACAGCTCTAAGTGAAATGTAAGATGAGCAACCTCCTCTATGTTTAAAATAAACAGCTGGTATATTGCTACAATTATTTTTATGGAGACGGTGATTTGTAATAGTTTCAAAATTTAGAATGACAAATTTATCAATTTATCTTTCTGATAGCGGTAATGTTTGCCCAAACACAGATATTACTTTCCTGTAAATCTGCCATATGTCCGTCAAATACTTGTGTTGAGAAAATTTGTTTAGTCTTGGTCAGTTGAAGATCGGTCAAAGTCATTCGGACAACACTAACAGAAGGTCATCTCGGGAAAAGTCAATATTTACTGGTCAGCTACCAATGTCATCTTTAGAGTTTATTGAAGTTTATCTGATGACCATAAATGCTTGCTAAGGAATAAAATAATCATAAAAATGCTATGTTTAATGTAAAGCCAAGAGGAAGGTAAGGTGAAAGGTCATCTGTATCAGGTGAAGCATGTCATCAACGAGATTGTCAATACACTGATACATGGTCATATTGACATAGAAAGAATGCCAACATGAAAATCAAACATCAGAACAAACAATGTCTATTTTTTATGTTTATGCAGTATTCAAACTATTGGCATGATATGCGCATGGTTGAAGACAAATTGTATACTATATAAGTCCTACTGCAGAAAATCTTTCCCCATTTCTTTCTATGCAAAAAGAATAAAGTTTTTTTAGAAAACCAAGAAAATGTTCATAGATTTGTTCTTCTTTATATGTATGACAATCTATCTAAATATTTACGATGATATAAGATAATTGGATTTCTTGATTCCTCAATTACAAAAAAATCCCTTAGAAACAGGGTTTGATACTTGTCTGTATAGTATCAAGGTATTCTGCTGACTTCTTCCCACGATACGTGGTATTTTAGATTGAGCTTCGCCAGCAAGAGACATAAATACAACGATCATATAAAAACACATTGTCTGGAGCGTGTTAGTCTCGAAAATCCTCTTCATGCAAAATAACTGTCTGATACTGTTTTACTTTTCATCACAAATATTAAAATGTCATTATTCCAAAATCTCTAATCCTTACAGAGTTTTTGCTTCACACTGGTCGTAAACAGATACAAATATATTTTTGTCTGTTATTAACTCGAACTTAAATCGACGAGTATTTCAGAGAACTGGAACCGACCATTATGTAGAAGAAGCTAACACCTCTGAAACACCTGGTTTTATGCTCCAGTTACGTTTTCATGTATCTCTTTGAAAAACACTCATTGGTTCATATTTGTTTCGTTGTTTTATCGATATTTAGTTGAAATTAATATTCTGGTTGATGGTAGGTATTGTCTAGTAGATTTTGAGCATGTTTTAAAGAAAGACACGAGAATGTCACCTTTCTACAACATGCCTCACACTTTTAACACCATAGCTTGTATAATTTCTATAACAACTCAACGTATTAATTTTCTTAATCATGTAACATTATACCTATACTGATTGTACAACAGAAAGAGTTCTTTTGAATTGAAACTAAACATATTTAATATGTGCAGATGGGAATATGACATCCGCAAAAAAATTGTCACTTCTGATAATTTAGATCATGCTCAGTTGTCTCCTAAGTTTCGTCAATTTAGGTCTTTTGCATCACTGAGGAGTCCTAGGAGGACGAAACAGCTGTATGATGTAGCATCACTGATGAGTCCTAGGAGGGCAAAACAGCTGTATGATGTAGCATCACTGATGAGTCCTAATAGGTCAAAACAGCTGTATGATGTAGCATCACCGACGAGTCCTAGAAGGACGAAACCGCTGCATGATGTAGCATCACCGACGAGTCCTAGAAGGACGAAACAGCTGCATGATGTAGCATCACCGACGAGTCCTAGAAGGACAAAACAGCTGTATGATATAGCATCACTGACGAGTCCTAGAAGGACAAAACAGCTGTATGATATAGCATCACTGACGAGTCCAAGGAGGATGAAAAAACGGTATGATGAAGTTTAGTTCATTATCTCGCCCTTCTATATCTTATTCCAAATTTAGCATTGAAAAAGCTTCTTCTTAGCACTCTCGGCGAATCGAACCTATAGTTATAGGGAAAGCCGTGGTCTTTTATCAAAGCATTAGCAGGTCACACCAAAACCTTTTACTACTGAACATTTAAAAAAGCAATGAACACATTCACTCTCGTCATTGCTTTTGTATGTAATCTTTAAGTACAAAGGGACGTAACTCCTTGTATCTTATTAAGCCAGCATTCTATCTGATATTTTCTAAATCGATTTGAAAATGGAGTTATATATTGATGTTTACATATTCAGTTTCCAGTAAGTCGCGAGTATCTGTTTGCCAGATACTCAAATACATATCACATGTAGTTATTCCAAATAATGTTTCTCTAGTTTTAACTTTACAATTACGTTTATTCAGAAATCAATAAATTTCTGTAAGCTATAAATTCACGTAAATCCATTTGATAATCATAGAATTATATTCGCGCTGTATCTCGTGCACCATATTTAAAATTACAGGTGGAAAGCCTTTTTGTTTGGGCTTTAGTCCCTTAGGTTGGCTGTAATAGCGCAAATCTGATAATCAGAATTTTATACCATCACCTGTGATACCAAAGATCGCACTCAGATTCAAATAGTTTCATCTGAAACAAGGATGTCAAACATCATCCTATGATTCAAACATTTAACTTATAATATAATGGAATACAATTAAGGCGAAGGATTTCTGTCTGCTAAGCAGATTAACTTGGATCTGTATCGCTTCTCTTCAATTCGACATTTAAAAAAATTTCTGTCCCTTTTTACGATCTTATAAGGGAAAATACCTTATGCGATATTAAGCTGGCCATGTTTGAAGCCTGTCAGTTTACTACGTGGTTCTGTTGTTGAATACGTTGTTCTCATTTAAGAATGGGACATTACTTATTCCGATTGGCCAAACTTTACATGACGGTTATCATCAAAGTTGCTTACACTTCCGGAACACCTGGTCTTATTCTCCTTTTTCAGGAGTCTCCATGCAGATATTTCTTTTGTTCATGTTTGCCTAAGTCTAATCGAGTTTGAATTAAGATTGCAGTAAGTGTCTTTCTTTGCTGTTTTTTTGGAGGGTTAAGCAGCCGTCCAAGCGAGGAAGGTTTGATATTATATCTCCCGACTGAGACCAATTAAAGTCTTTAAATTGGTACCTCATCTGACGTTAAGTATAAATAAATTATAGGTAAATACTGAATGACAGAATGTCAACATTACGTGTCTGGTAGGAGAGACGTACTG